TCAAGGCTCTTCTCCAGTACCACAACTCAAAGGCATCATCAACTCTTCTTCTCTCAGCCTTAGTCATTGTCTAGCTCTCGGATACATAGCAAGTAATTGAGACAACAATGGCCTGGATTAGGCGCACCTTATTCTCTAGACTCACATCATTGCATTTCAGTATTCTGGAGAAATCCCTGACAGAAGATATCCCCCATACAATTAGGTTTTTTTTTATTTCCTGATTGCTGGTGATGAGTCTTCTTCCAATTTTGATGCCACATTCCTGATGATCTTATTCCTGATAATTCCTTATGATCTGTTCTGCATATAGAATGCATCCCTGACACACATCTTTCTTGATTTTGAAACACACAGTGTTTTCTTGCTCTTTTCTGAGGAGTGCTTCCTGGTCCAAGGATAGCTTTTGCATAAGCACAATCAAGTGTTCTGGGATTCCCATTCTCCTCAAGGTTAGCCACAATTTATTGTGATCCACACAGTCAAACACCTTTGCATAGTCAATGAAACACCGAGAGCCATTCCTCTGGTACTCTTTGCTTTCTGCCAAGATCTATCTGACATTGGCGATAATGTCTCTAGTGCCACAATCTCTTCTAAACCCAGCTTGTATTTCTAGTATTTCTCTGTCAATGTACTGTTCCAGTCATTTCTGGATAATTTTCAGCAGGATTTTGCTAGCATCTCATATTAGTGATATTGTCCAATAATTTCCACACTATGTTGGATTACCTTTTTTTTTTTTTTTGAATGGTAATAAATATGAATCTCTTCCAGTCAGTTAGCCAGGTAGTTGTCCTCTGGATTTCAGTTATCCTTCAGATGTGTGGTGAGAACATTCAGGGAAATATCTTTTTGTTGAAATATGTCAATTGGTTTTGGATCAGTTTATTTTTTGCCAAATCCTTCAGAGCAGCCGGAACTTCCTCTTTTATGTGGCAATGCCACTTGGGCTAAGTAAATCTGAATATGAAATTTGGGAATTAATTTCATCCAAGGAAAAGGATTTATCTCATCTCCTGAACCTTTGTATCAGGACATTGGAACTAAAGAGTGTATTCACTTTCTGCATTTATTAATCAGTGCACTATTTACAACTAACAGTCTAAAAGGTAATATGGTCTGAAATACAAACTAAATGTCATCATCTAAGTGAATTTAAAAATGTCTACCTCAGATTAATCTAAGTCCTATAAAACTGTTGAAGAGAGAAAGACCATGTTTGGGTTCTACCTTTGGGTTTAAAATATTTAAAAGCCTGAAAAAAAGAGTTTAAAATTGTTTTACTATTATTATTTGTAAAAAAATAGAAGTATTAATACAATTTTACTAAAAATTACTGCTGTTTTTCAATTCTTATATGATTCTTCACTAAGTTTCCAAACATGCAAATTTTTACAGGAAAGGACTGTATATCACTCCATGGTAGGAGGATGACACTTTGGTTAGCAGCCAGATAAAGTATGCACTGCAAAACAAAGCCTCCTTAACGTTACAAGTGAAAATTAATCTTCCCCTGGAGAACAGAAAGAAAAGTGGCCTAGTGGCAAGAAGCTGCACTGCAATCCAGAGGCATGTAGTTCGAAGCCACTATCTGCTCCAGGAAGAGGTATGGGCTATCTGCTCCTGTAGATTAACTGCCTCTGAAACCCCACTAGAGGGTCAGCTATGGGTTGGTTCTGACTTGACAGTACACCACCAGCAGCAGCAGCAGCACCACTACCACCACCACCACCACATGGTATGTTTATATATATTTTCCTTTATTATGTGAGTTCTTACTGAAGATTATCCAAAAACGACTGGAACAAGCACATCAGCAGAGAACTATCAGAAATCCAGGCTGGGTTTAGAAGGGGTTGTGGTACTAGGGATATTGTAGCTGATGTTAGATGGATCATAGCTGAAAGCAGGGAATACCAGAGGAATGTCTATCTGTGTTTCATTGACTATGCAAAGGCATTTGACTGTGT